GTTGAGAAAGAGAATGTAACAGAAAGACAACAGGACAGACATTGTTCTTAGACTTGCTCATTTTCCAGGACTGATATATAATGTCTTTTCTTCTCTTAGGAGATTTGGCATATGTTCTCTGTTGTGTCTCAAATTAATTGCTTTGAGATTTCTCTTCCAAGGAGTAGATGTGGTATTTTGCTGCATTGGTCCACCTCCTCAAGAACTTTCTTAACCACTATGGGTTTGGCGTGCTCTGTTGCTTGCCTGGTTGTGGGTAGGGGTGGGGCTGGCCTGCTACCCCAATCTCCTTAGTTGGGTTTCTTAAAATAGTATTTCTCCACTTCTAATCATTTGCAATTATATTAAATAAATCACATTTTTGGATAATTTTCTAGCTCTTCTAACTCAACTGTTTCTTTCAAACAAATCATAGCTATCCCATTGTCACATTGTATTCTTGAATTGCATCTTGGGAGTGTAAGTGAAATGTATAAGATTGTTTTTCTTGTTGTTAGTATATGATAAAAAATAGAGCTGCCATTCACAAAATACCTACCATGTGCCATGTTAGATAAAAGGTGTTTTATTTATAATTAAAGTCCTTTTATCTAACATGATTGGGACAGGCAACTGGTTATTTCATTTAAAAAGTTGATTGAAGTAAGGAGTCATTATGAAATGACACACACTTTAAACATTTAATTTGAACTTAAAATGCATGCTTACATGTTCATTCATTCACCAGTCTTTAGGTATGATTCTGTTTAGTGTAGTTTATCCTTTTTTCATGCATAAACCACACCTGCAATGTGTTGCCAAGAATTTCTAGTATCTGTTGAAATAAATTGGAAGGAGATCCCAAGAAATCTTTAAAGCAATATGAGTGCAGAATCATAGGTTTTTACAATTTTTTAATGAAATTTTATAGTTACTCTGCTCAGACCTAAACAGTTTAACAATTCTTTAGTAACCTGTCTTTAGTGAGACAACCTACATAATGATAGTAATAATTATGATTGGTATAAATAGACTTGCGAATAGACTCATCTGATGCCTTGTAAATATACAGTTCTAAACACTGAGAGCACAATGGTGCAGTTATTCTAGAGAGTTGCCATCTAGCTGGGAGTATTTAGTGTGCCATTGGCATCAGCTATTATTGTATAGAGGCAATGGAAAGAATTAGTAGATCTGTCATGTCAGTTAAGTAGAGGTCATTAAAGAGTATCTATATTAATAATGCTTACAACTCTGAAAGAATGTAATATTATCCCCATTTTAGAAGGGAGCCCTGGTTTGTCCAAGATCCCACTACTAGCTTATAACCAGGACCAGGACCTAGGGCGGTTATTCCAACTACAGTCATTTCACAAAGCTGCTACACCTCTCTTTTATAATGTTCATGTGTTTTAATCTCAAATTTACTTCATTTATTGCTCATGATTATGAATTAGTATACAGGATTCTGCAAAGGGAAATATTGTTTCTGGCCCCTTTAATTATATTTTTCATGAAGATCATTACTTAGCATGCTTTCCCCTCCCCTTGCATAATAGTTTTGGCTTTATCTGGATGCTCTCTTACTTTTGTCTTCAGGTTACAGTTCATTAGATCATGTTAGCTTGTCTCTGAGCAAACACACTCTTTCTAATTCTTGACAGGTATTCCATTCCTACACAGGAGCTTGGATTCTAAGCCATCATCTAGAAAGCAAAATCTTATTCATTACAGATGTGTTACCATTTGTTCATTAATTATTTCCTCCTTTTTTCTCTAAAGTTACAGACTGTGCCTCTAACTCTCCTGATTTCTGCTCCATGCTAAGCCATCATCTAGAAAGCAAAATCTTATTCATTACAGATGTGTTACCATTTGTTCATTACTTATTTCCTCCTTTTTTCTCTAAAGTTACAGACTGTGCCTCTAACTCTCCTGATTTCTGCTCCATCACTAACTTTTATTTAGTGATGCATCTTTTTCTAACAGTGCCATTCATCCCTAAATGAATCAGCACAAGTGAGATCGGGCTTAATGAGCCATAACACAGCTTTGATGAGCCTCTAACACTTTAAAATAGATATTCCTGAAGAAAGTGCATCTACCAGTTAGCCACATCAGATGCAAACATGTTCCAACAGAAGTTATCACCACTGCCACCACCAAGTCTCTTATCTTCCAGGAGTTTCACAAGTCACTGTTGCTGGTTTGTGTTTCCTTTCCAAAAGGCCTGCCTGGCCCATTGTTTCTGGAACAAGTATGGTAGCTGTATAGAGCTTCAGTGGTGCAGAACTGGTGCATGTTTCTGGCACACTTCCTTGTAGAGTTTTCATACCTCTTGACATTGAGTTGTATTTTCAGTTGGAATTCCAATCCTTAGACACTCCTTTGATTAACTCTTTGAAAAATGTCTTAATAAATCTCCCAGACTCTGATAGTTTATTTTTTAAGCCACCCCTTTCTTTCATTGTCCAGTGTTCACTTCTCTGCAGGCAGAGTGGGTTGTTATCATTAGCAGGTCCCTATCATCCTTTCTCTAAGTAGCTATCAGATTGTAATCCATTTAGAAAACAAAGGATCCCTTTAGAAATATTAGAGAAGGCCCCATCTTTTCCACTTTCTAACCTCTGCTAAAAAGGACAGATTAGCCTGTTGGCTCAGACTCTAAGCTGAATTTTGGGGCAACTGATTTACCATCCTCTTTCCAAACCCCATACCTTGCATAGACATTTATGTCTCAATAAATGACCACTTCATCCCTCCAGTTGTACAGGCCCAAATCCTTGCACTCATACTTGATTCTTGTCTTTCTTCTCCTACCCCATGTCCAATTTGTTTTCAAATCTTTTTTGTTTTTCCGTCAGAAAAAATATACAGAATGTGATCCCTTCTCACTACCTCCACCCTGTCTTGAGTGAATTAACTCCAGCACGAGTCACTTGTGCCTATCTGCTCTAAGGGCCATTTACTCTGACTTTCTCATTGCTCATATAGAGCCTTGACACGAGGGCAGACTAGAGAGAGAGGTTCCTGATCCTCAAGACACTATTAGGTTAGTGATAATGGGAGTCAAGTCCTAAGTACTCCTCTCATGAAAAGGCCTCAACCCTTACCAACTGAGTATCTCTCTGTTTATGCACTTGTAAGGGTTTGAAGATGAGAGGAGGAGAAAGAAGTGTCTCAACCCTTACCAACTGAGTATCTCTCTGTTTATGCACTTGTAAGGGTTTGAAGATGAGAGGAGGAGAAAGAAGTGTTTTGTACAATTCTCTTTGTAAATTGAGAGGCAGTTTTGTGTAATGGTTAAAGAGTGTGGACTCTAGAACCAGTTGGTCTAGGTCTGAATTCTGCCACTAGCCATGTGACCCTGTGCAAATTCTTTAACGTCTTTTTATTTCAGTTGTGTTTGTGAGATGGGGATAAAACAAGCATTTGTCCTTACTTCATAGAGTTGTGAAGATTAGGTGAGTTAGTACCTGTAAAGCAATTAAACAATTAAACAGTTCTAATACATAGTAAGTGTATGATAAATCAGTTTTATTTTTTAAAAGCCAATTATCATGGTAGGATTGTGGACCTTAGTCTTTCTGATGGCATGGGGAGTTATAAACATTTTGGTGATGAACCATATTCTAGTAAGCCCATTTACCTAGATTAGGACTCTCTTTCCTTATACAGTAGAAAGCTATTCAGAGGGACAGTGGCTACACATTAAGTGAATTCAGCTCCACAGAATCACCAGTGCTGGAGTGAGTCTTAAGTCCTTAGTATAATACCATTTAATTCAGTAAATAAAGCAACAACAAATTTTACCAGTTCTTTTTCTCACCTATCAGCACCTTGTCCCTGACTCTTGACTATCCAGTGTGGAAGAGAGGATAATTAGACCTTTATATTCCAAGTTGGAAAATTTTCTAAATCCTCCTTTTTCTCTTAGGATCAAATATTGTCTTCAATTATGAAGAGCTGTTAACTTTTAGTGTGCTCCATGAGCGCGCTATTGCTCTTTTGGGTATGGTAAGCTTTCATTGGGCATTGCAGGATGGTTAGCACCCCTGGCCTCAGTGCCAAATGTCAATAACACATTACCAGTCACTCTGACTAGTAAAAAAGTCCTCACACATTTCCAAACACCCCACAAAGTAGTGGTGTAGCCTCCGGTTTAGAACTACTGCTAGCTAGGCAATTAGAAGTACATCACCCGGATATTGGACTCAGTTGCTAATTATCAACCATCGTTTATAATTTGATGGAGCAACTTGATACCAAAGTCTTCATGTCTGGAGAAAAACTAGCTATTAAAGCCACAAAAACAAAAACAAAAACGAAAACAAAAAAAAAAAGCCACTAACGTTGTGCCATTCTGAGACTATGCCAGCCAATTTTTATTTTTCAAAATCTAAGATGTTAGGAAATCCAAGATATTTATTGGTAGGTTTTTGTATAAATAGGAAATATTTTCTCTAAAGAAAACATTAAGTTTTCATAAAGTTATTCATTTATGAAATGAGTGTGTGCATATGAGCTTTAACATTCTCAAAGTGAACTCATTTTTAATTTACAGGATTAAAGTATCTCTCTTTTTTTGTGTGTCTTTTTCATGACTGGTAAGGGGATCGCAACCCTTGGTGTGGTGTCACCCGCACTGTGCTCAGCCAGTGAGCACACCAGTCATCCCTATATGGGATCCGAACCCGTAAGGGGATCGCAACCCTTGGTGTGGTGTCACCCGCACCGTGCTCAGCCAGTGAGCACACCAGTCATCCCTATATGGGATCCGAACCTGTGGCAGGAGCATCACTGTGCTCCCAGCGCTGCACTCTCCTGAGTGCGCCAGGGGGCCGGCCCTAAAGTATCTCTTTTTAAAAGTAATTTTAAAATATAGTGCAAAGTACATACATCCTTTAGAATCTCTTGTATTAATGATTTTTAAATCTGCACAGTAAGAGTATGATGCCATAGTTTGCTAATGTTATGCAAATAATTAAGTTATAATTTTTCTTAATTCTTTTATATTTCAGAGAAAGAGTTTTGGAGAAAACTGGACACAGGCTCAGCAAAACCCAACAGAAGAAAAACAGAAAAAGAAATAAAAAGCAGAACAGCCACAGTAAAATCATGGAGGAAAACTCATTTGAAACCTTAAATTATCTTACACCAGGAGATCAGGACCCATTTCAGAATGAAGAGGAAGACTTCGAAGAGACCAAAAGAGAATCAGATGGTCCAGGAAATAAAATAGGAGATTTTGTGAATGGCTATAAAGAAGAAAGAAGGGAAAACATTGATCCTAAAGACAGTTTTCCAAATGTTATGTCTGTAGTTGAGTTAGACAACACATCAAATAATCACCTCCCTAGGGAAGGTGATGATTTATTTCTAAGTTTGCCATCAATGCCAAATGGAAGCTCTGTTACTTGTCCAACAGTAACTCAAAATCTTTCCTGTGTAACAAGTAACAACTGCTCTGGTATGAAGGTAAAAAAGCATATTGGAAATAGGCATACCATGACATTAAACATCCAGAACCTATTTGCTGAAACCCCATGCTTATTTATTCAGAAGAAGGAGATGGTAGATAAAAGTTTCTCAAATGAACCAGTTCTGTGCCATCAACATGGATCCAGAACTTCAGATAAAGTTGTAAGAGAGGAACAAGGAGTATATGCAACTAAAAACAATTATCAGGCTTTTTTCACAACCAGTTTCTCTGGTGAAGAATTACAGCTGGACTTTAATAGACAACCCTATTTTGATCGCTGGCCTGAGGGACCTCACAAGTTTATATGTGAACAGAGACCAAAGAAAGATAGATCACATAAGCAGGCCTGTCCTGACAGCAGGGGGCAATTGACTAAATTGATCTTCACTTTTGGAGGAGCATCAGGACCAGAAAGCAGTCCAGAAATATTGATAGAGGAGAAACGACTGATAGAAAATGAAGATTTGTCACCTCCAACTGAAACTTTAGATTCATTCATAGAAACAGAAACAAATATCTTCAGAAGCTGTTTACCTCAACTGGATATCCCAAAAAGTGCCTTAGAATCAACAAAGAATAAGAAAAAGAGGCAGAAAAGGATTCTCAACTTGGTACCAAACTTTAACTTATTGGGACAGAGTCATATCAATGCAAAAGAAAGAAAGAAACATGGTCTGTTAGCAGAAAGCCATGAACTGAAAATTATTTTGGGAGAAGAGAAAGATAGAATTTCAGAAATAAATAACAAAGAGGATAATAAGCAAAAACTTATGACCTTCAATCATCATCTATCATGGTTTTATCTTGATATTATCAAAGATCCCCCTCTAAATATTGGTGGGCAATTTTATTTTCATTGTCTGTCATTTAACAGACTAAGGCACGCTGCATATTTTTGCAAAGACTCTGTTCCTTCTGTTGTGCTGCATCATATATCTAGCTTTTGGAAGGTGTCTTTTACAAACAAGAAACCATTTTTGACTTTCAAATCTCATACAAGAGTAGGTAGTAAACTAAATGGCGTAGGGATTATTTCTACAGACATTTTAAGTAGCCAGCCTGATACTTTGGGCTCTTTGAGGGTCACTTCTGATCTTTACTTTTTAAATGAAAGGTTTGGTGAAAAACTGAAGAGATGGGAAGAACCTAAGCCATTACAGTGCTTATCAGCAGAGGATAATCAAGATTTAACAAGCACTGGCTTTAATTCCTTTGGGCTACCGTTATCACAAGGGTTTGTCTTTCAACAAGTACAGCTTTTTGGATCTCTTGAAGTTCCAGTGGGTAAATTGTTTTCATTTGCTAAAAGTAAAATGTCCAGTTAAAAATATGCAAGTAATTTTTGAGCTGTTTCTCCCTAGTATTAATGATTTCATACAGTTTATAGACCTCGTGATGCTTTTCAGCAGTGAAAGTGAAGACTCGTAGCAAATGGTGCTCGATCTTCAAAGCCCCCGCCCCTTGCCGTCAGTAGTCTTTTTAAATGTCTTTGAGTGTGTAGAATACTTGCATTCTCAACTTAGGTAGACACTGGGAAGAATGGAAGATGAGGCAGGTAACAGTGATTGTGCAGCAAATAGAGATGGGCTGCTTTTTTTTTCTTAATCTTTCCACTTTCTACCTTTTTTCTTGTTTGACACATGGCCCTTTCTTTCTCATTCACAGGTATGAGGTTAGTAAAGGGGGGACAGCAAAGATTTGATGAAAAATATCTAACAGTTGAATTTATCTTTTTAAAAGCTCTCTGAGAAGGGTACTGAAGGGATTAGGAGGGTGTCTGACTAGTCTACTTTCAGGCTCGTAAGATTATTATTTTTGGAAATGAAAAATCCACCTATGAATAAAACAAGAGAAAATATAAATTTTTATTATTTTATGTAAGTTTCTTCCTAATAATAAGTATATTTAGGGTACTAAATGTCTTAAAAAGGAAATGGAGCACATATTCCAACTTTTCCTTATCTGTAACTCAATGGATGATATTTCCTGGTACTTTTCTTTGAGGACAGAAGCTGCTTTTACAAGAGGCAAAGGCCCACTCCCTGCAGTTCTCCTGTACCTTTCTGTTGTTCTTCTACAGCTACTGGGGTTCCCGGACCCTGCTCTGTCTCAAAGCTTGACCCCACCCCTGATTTTTCCCTTGATCCTAAACTTTTTTTTTTTTTGGCAGCTGGCCAGAAAAAGGATCTGAACCCTTGACTTTTGTGTTACCAACACTGTGCTCTAATCAACTGACCTAACTGGCCAGCCCTATTGACCCTAAACTTTTTTTTTTTTTTTCATTTTTGTCTTTTTTCGTGTCCGGCAACGGATCGCAACCCTCAGTGTCGCGCCCGGACCGGACCGGACCGGCAACGGGATCGCAGCCCTCGGCGTTGCACCCGCACCTCGCTCAGCCAGTGAGCGGGAACCGGTCTGTATGTGGGATCCAAACCCTCGGCGGGAGCGCCTCCGCACTCCCAAGCGGCGCGCTGTAGCAGTGCGCCACCGGGCCGGCCCGACCCTAAACTTTTGGTGTTCCAGACAAATTTGGTCCCAGCACCTGAGACCCAAGATTGGCTTGACTCAGGGCTAAGGTGTCATCATTATCAGCCTGTTCTCGGGCTCTGGCATTATGTTTATCATATTTGTAAGCTCTGTGAAAATCACTTCTTAGCTGTTAGCTGCAATTTTTCTGTACTCCTAAATGCACCAAAGAAACATACCAATTTTTAAAAATTAAATGTACTTGCCCTGGGGAGTTTTAAGTAATTGGAGATATTTTAGGTCAGGGATTTTAGTCCAAGGTACATATTCTGAAATTGTATGCAAAATTTTTTGTGTCATTTTGTGCCATTTGGGGGAAGAAAGTCCATAGATTTTATCAGCTTCTCAGAGGGGCCCATGACCCAAAAAGATTAACAATCACTGCCTTAGATGGGTACCAGAAAGCACAAAGGCACCAGTGTGAAAAGACTGAAATTTCTCCTCCCTTGAGTTCACAGTATCATCATAATCAACAATGATCAAGCACCCGTTAATTAACTTTGGAAAGCTTTTTAAGGAAAATAGACCTCATTCATCAAACAGCTTACCTTCTAAATAGGGAGGCAAGACTAAAACAAAACAAATGTACTGCACATAGAAAATATAAATGACAAGCTTATGAATATTTTATGAGTGAGACTATCAGCGCTAAAAAGATTGGTTGAAGAGAATATGGAGTTATGATCTTGTGGGGGACGACTTCAATGTGGAAGTTAATGATAAGCACTGTTTATACAAGGGAGAAAGAATATGGCTTGAGAGAAGAGCAGAGGAAAAGAATTTCACATTTGGAAATGACATGTGCTTAAAAAGGGAAAGGAGGAGACTGTAAATGTAATCTAGTTTGGCTGGACTGGACAAGCCAAACTCTGGTGAATGATCAGTGGCCTTGTAAATAAGGCAAGGAACTCAAGTGAATCCCAATATTAGGAGTTCTGCAGGCTCAGTTGGACTACATAGTAGGGCCAAATATAGGTCTTAAGAAACCAAACTACTCATGGTGCTAGGAATACATGAGTATTGGAAGAATATTTTTTATGGTTTAGTACGGCTGATATATGTATGTTATGAACATTTAAATTGTTTATGAGGATTTTCCCTCAGATGTGGAAGGAGCAATTTATAGGAAGACTAAACTTACTATAGTTGTCATGTTTCTTACACGTCACAGGAAAGGATGACCTCCCAAATTTTATGCCCTTGGCTGTACCACTAGAGGTTATTATATACATATTGATCTGTATACAGAGGGTCCCCGACTTATGATGGTTTGATTTAGGATTTTTCAGTTTTACAGTGGGGCAAAAGCAATAAGCATTCAGCAAAACACATACTTCAAGTACCCATACAACCTTCTGTTTTTCACTTTCAATAAATTACATGAGATATTCAACACTTTATTATAAAATAGGCTTTGCGTTAGTTAGATGAGTTTGCCCTACTGTAGGCTAAGGTAAGTGTTCTGACCATGTTTAAGGTCAGCTAGGCTAAGCTATGATGTTTGGTAAGTTAGGTGTATTAAATACATTTTCAGCTTATGACAGGTTTATCAGGACATAACCCCATTGTAAGTTGAGGAGCATTTGCATGTACAAGGATACTTCAAAAAGTTATTGGAAAAATACAATTAAAAGATAATATGAATCTTTCCACGAACTTTTTGAAGTACCCCCATGTGGATAGTGCTTACTAATATAGACAAAACATTTCTGCTTTAGCCATCACTGAAGTATCTTCAAAACCAGACTTTAAAACAAAGACAAAACAACCCCCCCCCCGACTTTTAACATTATAGCATTCTAGATATCATGTTTGCATACCTTCACATTTAGGGGAAAAAAATCTGTGTGACATTAGAGATGAAATTTGTCCCCTCCTTTTAACAGAATCCTTGTTGCCTGATGACTATGTGGTTCCCCTTGACTGGAAGACACTGAAGATAATCTATTTGCAATGGCAAACGTCAATAGAGGTATATTTTTATGGTTTTCAAAGAAGACCATCTCTAACTGGTTTCTTTAGAAATAAGATTGGAGAAAATCTGTTCCTCAAACTTAACACTGAAGAGCTATACATCTCGTATTAAATTAGAAAAATAATGTATATGGATAGCTAGATAATATATGCATGTTTTCTTTCAATTAGTCCCAGAGAGAAAATTGCACTTAATTCCTAACTCTGTTGTAGTGTATGCTGGTAAAAGTCCCACTATAGGTGACTGAGGTGCCCATTTTAGGAGAGTCCTTTATTATTTATTGTATCTTTCCTCTTGTCTTATGCTCAGTCTTGCCACGTTATGATAGAGTATGAGCTACGAAGTAGATTCATATTTACTTGACTTGGAAGCATCTCATTATTGGTGTGATCTGCTGGCCCATAGTGAAAAACACAACTGTTCTAAGGACTGTTCATTTTCAAGATAGCTGGAGGAGGCTCGGATGGTTAGAAACATGATAGATAGAAACTGTGGGAAAACTGAGTAACATTATGAGGGCGGCTGGGGTTCTGTTCATGTTAGTTGGTAGTGATTTAAACGTACCCAGAGGCAATGCTAGGGGGGTACGTTTTGAAATAAATAATAAAATCAAAGTTTAGTGAAACATTATAAAACTAATAGTTCAGGATAGTAGGTATTTCTTAACTCTTCATATAAGCACAACTGTGAGAAAAGTAGATTTGTTTTGTGTCCATTTAGTAAAATGAAATACATTTTCTAAACTTATTTCTCCTTATTCCCCATGGAGACCTCACTGCTACTTAAAACACATGCATGCGCGCACACGCACGCACGCACGCACACACACACACAGCAACACTTTGTTTTTTTTTGGCTCTCTCCTCCCCTCCAGCAATACTTTAAATGTTTAAATTGACATTTGTGGTTGTTGTGTTTCTTTTGTCATTTTAAGATTGTCCCTACCTGAGTAAAATGACAGCACAAGCTTAATCCCAATGCCAAATATTAATCATTATTTTATGTATTTTAATTATAATTTCTAGAAAAGACAGAAGATTGGTTAAAAAAGAATTCCTTCAACTTGTAAGTACAAGTTATTCCAGAGACTTCTATATGATCAGAAGGAAATGAATGCTGATTTTATTTGGTTGTAATACCTCATATGTACCACTACTAAAAAGTAAAATATAAAAATGTAGTTTGTTACCATAGCAACCCTGTGTGCTTTTGCACATGTGATGTTTTTATTTCTCTTACATGTAGATCTTTTTGTGAAATACAACAAAGCTTAGATTGTTGCTCCCAAATTTATTTTCCCACTTTATTGGTTAGAACATATTTCAGAGCAGTCTGTCAACATACAATTTATGAGCCATTTCTCCCCTTGAGTTGGTACATGTCAAGGGCTAAAAATTAAGGCTGTATGTTATATTTAAATATTAAAAGATTCTCTAGGAAAAGAGGTGAAACATATAGACAAACTCATGTTATATTTTAAACTTGACATCAAGCTGATGTTAAAATAAACACATTGCACTTTTTTTAAATGCCTAAATTATGAAATAAACACAGCTGCTACAATTTCAGCGTATGTGTCTGCATTTGATAAGAATTGAATGCACTGTGCATTTACCATATGTTTTTTCTTTTCATTTGAACTCTTTTTTTTTTTGTCCTTTTTGAGACCGGCTGCACCGCACTCAGCCAGTGAGCGCTGTGAGCGCACCGGTCATCCCTATATAGGATCCGAACCCGCAGCAGGAGCGCTGCCGCGCTCCCAGCACTGCACCCTCCTGAGTGCGCCAGGGCCTCGGCCCTGACCTCTTTTTTCTAAAAGTACTCTGTATTTCCATTTCTCAACTAGAAATACACATATATCCAGTAAAATATTTTTGTTGGTTTTAAACCTGCTTCTAAAAAAACAGAGGGAGAAGAATTGACGTTTCGGGGAAGAGTTTAGAGATTTGGAGGGACCACTAGAAAATGTGGGATAAATATGGTACAGGAAGAGATAAAAGGCTATGAGGAACTCCAGAGAAAGGAGGTAAAGACATTCATTCACTTTTTCAACAAATGTTTATTGAGTTGCCTCATGTCAAACATTATTCTACACACTGAGTATGTATCAGTGCACACGTTCCTGCCTCACAGAATTTTTGTTATAGGGATTGAAGTTAGGAAGGGACTGTTTTCCCTCCCCCCATGAGGTGACCCCAGTGTGCTGAGATCCCAGGACAAGCAGCATGCAACAAGCATGGCCAGTTCCAGGAGGCTTTTCTGTTTGCTAAACTTGGAATGTTTTGTGTCAAAGACACTTTCTGGAACATAATTTTGATTTTTATGTTGATCTTTCCACATGCACACTAAACTGCCCTCTATGAACATGGTCTCCTCACAAAGCAGTCTGCCCCTAATTAATATTTTCTTGTTGGAGAATTTTATGAGTGTTGTAGCTGTGTGCAGATTATTAGTTAGTATATTGAAAAAGGGCCTCCTGTTTTGTGTTTGGAATAATGTACTAACCAGTGAGTCTCAAGGGGTAAACAGAAATTTAGAAAGAGGGAAATAGCAGGAGAATCTAGTTGACTCTGGAAGCCACAGGACCCTATGTATTTCAAAACTCTCTCCCTTCTGGTTGCGAGGGTGTTTGACATTGTGTCACTTCTTTGTGGAGGTGGGGTGGAGTGCTAGAAGGAGGATGGGTTCCCATCTTAAAGCTCCTGCTGCTGGCTGTGTGATCTTAATCAAATTACTTTCCCAGAAGCCTCAGGGGGTGGAGTGCTAGAAGGAGGATGGGTTCCCATCTTAAAGCTCCTGCTGCTGGCTGTGTGAACTTAATCAAATTACTTTCCCAGAAGCCTCAGTTTCTTTTTTTTTTTTTAAAAGATGACCGGTAAGGGGATCTCAACCCTTGGCTTGGTGTTGTCAGCACCACGCTCAGCCAGTGAGCAAACCGGCCATCCCTATATAGGATCCGAACCCGCGGCCTTGGTGTTATCAGCACCGCACTCTACCGAGTGAGCCACGGGCCGGCCCTGAAGCCTCAGTTTCTTTACTTGTAAAAAATAGATTTATTATACCGACCTCTCATGGGGGTAATAAGCGAGGATTAAGTGAAATAATTCATACAAAGTACTTAGCATAGTGTCTAAAAAATAATGGCTTGTTAAAAAGGGTTAATTATTAATAAAGCTTGATAAGGCTAATATGGGTTAATTGCCCTCCCCTAAATATCTCCTTGGGTTAAAGCATTGCCTTTGAAATGCCCCCTGGCAAAGTAGAAATTGTATTATCTAAGAGAGGAACATACTGATCCAGTAAACTTGCTAACACATCTCTATGAATTAGTGTATTTATTATTAATTTTTTGTAATGTAAATAGTTGGATCTTGATGGAATGGAATATAGAACAAGTTTCGATTTCGGGACAGAAAGATGGGAAATATCAGAGGAATAGGCTCTTGAGTGAGGCATGATGAGCCGTGTGGACTGTGGGGACAGTGTAAAGTCCTCGATGCCAAGGGAGTGGCATACCTAGGGAAGCAAAGGCTGCGGGTCTGCAGACAGACCTCCTTCATGTCACTCTTTGGTCTTGTCTGGGCTTCTGTTTGTTTGTAGTTGAGTTCTCCAGTCTTCGTGGTGCTGCTGAAGATCCTGATCGTGGAGAAAAGTCAGAGTGCTCAGTGTCAACCCAAAGGATTCTTACCCATTGAATACCAAAATTGGTTTGGATAACCTGTCCAACCATTCTTGATAAGTTATCTGCATAATAAAAAACTCAACGGAAGAGGTAACAATTTGAACATTTTATTCTCTAATTTTGAAGATGTTTGCCATAAGTTTACTTTGTTTTATTGAGGAAAATAAGGGACAGAAAACTTGAGTAATTTCTGTTTAAAACTGCATGAGGATTCTAATACTATATCCACGTATTGGTCCTTGATCACATTTCTGGAATTCTGAAATCCAAAAAGCTCTGAAAATCAGAAGTTGTTTTGGTTTTTCTTCCCCCTCCCAAATTCTTATTATTGTGGTAAAATACACAAATATAAATTTACCATCTTAACCATTTTTAAGTGTATTGTTAATACATTCATAATGTGATACCATCAGCACCATCCATCTCCAGACTCTTTATTTTATAAAACTGCAGCTCTGTACCCATTAAACAATTACTCCCCATTCTAGCCCCTTGCAACCACTGTTTTGTTTTTTAAATTAGTTTGGCATTAAAACTAAGTTGGCAGCCAAACTTGATCCTCAGATAGGAGGTTAATTTTACTCCTTATTTATCCCGCTTGGTGTGTATTTACGTGTATTGATACATTTCACTGCAGAAATATTAATGTGTTTAATTACCAGGGCTGGCCCAGACCCTACTCGGAATATAAAGTAATATATAAGTATATGTAGTATTACCTTCAACAAACACTTTCTGAATTCTGAAACATCTGACCTCCAGATTTTGGTTATGGATTGTGGGACCTGTACTATATTAGAGGTTACTATCATTATTATTATTATTATTTTCTGTTTTAGTTTAGTTGTATTTAACACACTTAAAATATGGAAATTCATATTTGAAAAAGATAAATTAAGGGGTGATTGTCTACTCAATATCCAACATGTAGACATTTACCTAATCCCCATTTGCAGAAATGGAGCCCCATCTGTTTTATGTTCTCCACTCCTCCCAGATCCTCTCTTATCTTCCCAAAGGAGCAAACCTCCAGGCTTGAGGGAGGGTCACTTAGCTGCTGGGTATGTGGGTGTTTGTTTCTTAAACAGACTTTCAACTAACCTTCCAGTTTAGGGCCCCACTTTTCATACCAGATCTTTCAGTTCTTCAGATTTAGAGGTTATTCTGGATAAATTGTGTTGCTTCTTGGCTTTCTATAACTCAGATTATTTTGGAGGTGGGGATAATTAATGAACAGTTAGCCATTTGGTTTCCAGTTTCCAAAATATTGTTGCTGTGATTTTTTTTTTTATGGTTTATATTTAAAACAAAAATAACAACAAAACCACCATCCCCTCCAAAAAACCAAAAATGAAACACCAAAACAACCCCCTTTATGTTTTAATGGGGTCTCAAGGAGGGAGTGAAAATTAAATATTGCGGGGCCGGCCCAGTGGCGCACTGCTATAGTGCGCCGCTTGGGAAGTGCAGCAGTGCTCCCGCCGAGGTTTCGGATCCCACATACAGACCAGTTCCCGCTCACTGGCTGAGCGAGGCGTGGGAGCAACACCGAGGGCTGCGATCCCGTTGCCGGTCCCAGTCCAGTACGGGGGCGACACTGAGGGTTGCGATCCGTTGCCGGACACGGAAAAAGACAAAAAAAAAAAAAAGAAAAAAAGAAAATTAAATATTGGTGTTCAATCTGCCATCTTTATTGGGAATTTGTGTTTTATTTATTTATTTATTTATTTATTATTATTTTTTTGCCTTTTTGTCTTTTTTCGTGACCAGCAACGGGATTGCAACCCTCGGTGTCGCGCCCGCACCGTGCTCAACCCGTGAGCTGACTGGTCTCTATATGGGATCCAAACCCTCAGCGGGAGCGCCACCGTGCTCCCAAGCGCCGCACTCTACCGAGTGCGCCACCGGGCCGGCCCTGTGTTTTATTTTAAAAAGCTCAGTGTTTTCCTTATGTTCATTTCATATCGTTTTCAGTTTATCTTCCTACTAGACTGTAGGTCTCTTCTGGACAGAGACTGTGGTCTTCAATGTTTGGTTGAACTCTGCAGGCACATATATTATCAAACTCAACTTGCCTTTGGCCTAGGATGGGATCTTTCAGTGCAGATCTGACATGTAGGGTTTTAAGCACAGACAGCCGGGGATAGGGGCTCTGGCATCTGTCAAATTCTTGTTTTCTTAAAGGCCTTCAACAGCAAAGCATTTATGGCTTTCTAGTGAATACATTAAAAATCCACACCACCATGGCTATACCTAAGGGCATTAGAAATATTGAAGGCATATTAGAAATATTGGGGAGAACCAGTTCTGTCGCCCCTTTATGCTATACTGATGTATATCAGCTAAATAGCCACCCAGGCTTGTCCTAAGGCTCCAGAATGCCCCCAGCTTTGTCTAGCCCCTGCCTTTATTACCTTGCCCTAATTTCTAGAATGGGGCTTTAGAGAAATGGGTTTGGGCTACTGTCTTTCCTTTCTAGCCTCATCTTCAGGGAGCCTCTCTCTGAAGCTTGTACCACGTGTCCCTGTGCACAGCAGCAAATACTAGGTGCTATGGAAATAGAAGATATGGTCCCCACCTTGCGAGAGGTGTCTGACATCAAAAAGAGAGAGGGTTGGAATTCAAAAGCCAGCGGTGGTGTGGGATAAAATTATAAAAATCAGGCTTGTCCAGAGGATATTTCTGTGTTGGCAGACTTATCCAATGCCACTAGAGTCCTGAATATCTTCCCTATCAATTTGGCCAAGCTGACATACTCTGCATTACTTTTTTCCCCTTGTCCCCCTTCCCTTAACCTCTTTCCATTTCCTAAACCCTTCATCAGGCTCCTAGGGTAAGGATGAGGGAAGAGCCAGGAGGGAGACAGCGTTGGGGGAGGGGAGGACAAGGTCCCACCTCTGACTGGCTAAATACTGCATGTGCATCTAGAACAGAGGAGAGACCGGAATCTGGCAGAAGTTGCTGGACCAGTAAGCAGTCCATCATAGAAACGGCTAAGCAGGTGAAAAGAAATTTCTTTCTTGTCCTCTCAACTTATGTCACTTATACATATGCAACAAGATAAATAAGTATGTATGTAATACTAATTTATGCTTTTAAGTTAAAAAAAAATCAGAAAAAGTTTTTGGTAGGGGAAGACCGGACGTAGGGTTAGAGAGAATTGAGAAAGCTACTACCTATACAAGTATAATATATATTTAGAATGGTTCTGTTATGTTAAAGAGTCTTTGATTAGACTGCTTTGGAAACTTCATCTTAGTTTCAGACTTTCTGCTCCCTTGGCATGGGGAAGAATCGAGGAATCTGGCCCTGATTTATTATTAAACATTCCAAATCCTGCGTTATTGGGAACAGTGGGTTTGAGGGTTTAAATTCCCAGTTTCCACTAGCTCTTCTGCACCTTCTTATTTTTCCACGTCTTGTTAAACAGTAACAGTTAAAGAAACATCTGAATGTTTCTTCATTTGCCAAAAAATGGTTTATAAGATTATTTTCTTCATGTCTATCATAGTAATGGTTTCTAGTGCAGCAAGGTGAGATTATGCTGGTCATCATATAATAGAAAAATGGAACAGAACCCTAGAGCTGAACAGTTGGTTGTATGAATTGAGTGCAGTAATGAGTGTTTTTATACGGGGATCCTCTGACTCAGGGGTAGCCCACCTCTGGAGGCTGCCACATAGTAGGACTGTTGAGTCCTCCATTAGAGTATCTGAACACAGCTAATAGCTAGCTTGCTCTCAGATCTGTGCATAAGATCACTTACTCTGTTTACATTATTCCTTAGCCGACATTATCACTGTCTTGCTCAGTGTTAATCTTTAGTAAATCCCAAACTCAGGTTCATCTACTCGGAAAGTAGTTCAAGTCTGCATACAATTATTGGGCACATTCTGAATGTCAGGCACTGCATTAGATCCTGGGCTGACAAGGATAAGTAAGACACTATCCCTGCCCTTGAACTTATAGTCTAGTGGGAGGAAACCATTATACAAACAGTTAACTCTAAACAGTGTGGTTTTGAGGAATAAATAAGGAAAAATAGTCAGAGCTTGTTGACTAGTCAAATGTGGGGGTTGGCTGGCTGGTTAGCTCAGTTGGTTAGAGCACGGTGTTATAACACCAAGATCAAGGGTTCAGAGCCCATTACTGGCAGCTGCCAAAAAAACCAAAACAAATAAATATGGGGGTTGAGTGAAAGGAAAGTGTCTAAGGTCACTTCCAGGTACTGCCAACCACTTTCTCCTCCTTGAAACTCTCCTTCGTTGGGCTTCCTTAACACCTGTTTGAGCACTCTGTTTACCTTGCTAAGCATTCAATTGTCTTCTCCTTAGCTAGATCCACTTTGAGGGCACAGTCCTTAAATGCTGGTGTCCTCAGAGTCTCCTCCTCAGCTGTCTGCTCTATTCTGTCTCCTTCTCATAGCGGTAAGGATTTCTTTTCTTTTTTTTTTTTAAAAAGGTGACCGGTAAGAGGATCTTAACCCTTGACTTGGTGTTTTCAGCACCACGCTCTCCCAAGTGAACTAACCAGTCATCCCATTATAGGGATCCAAACCCGTGGCCTTGGTGTTACTAACACCACACTCTCTCAAGTGAGCCATGGGCCGGCCCAGAGGTAAGGATTTCTAAAAGCTCTGTCTGTGGCTCAGCCCTCTCTTCTGAGCAATACAGTCATATTTCCCAAAATCTATTAGGTAGCTCCACCTGCCACAGGCACTGGAGACTCAATGTGCCAAAAACTGCCATCCCTCAAAGTTGTGTGTCTTCCTGCTGACCTCTCTCACTGCCTGGGAACCTTTTACAGAAGGAAATGGAAGTCTCATGCAGCACTGTCCAATAGAAATATTGTGCCAACCAAATATGAAACCTAAACTTTCTAGTAGCCACAATAAAAAAGTAAAAAGAAACAGGTGAAATTAATTTTAATAATATGGGAGCTGGCCAGTTAGCTCAGTTGGTTAGAGTGCAGCCTTACTGAGGTCATGGGTTTGGATCCCCATACTGGCTAGCTGCCAAAAATATATATTTTTAAAATAATATATTATCCCAGTATACCCAACATATTATCATTTCAACATGTAACCAAAATAAA